TAAAATCTATTTTATATATTTTTTATAAAGAGTAAATTTAAAATTAAAGTAGATATAGAAATTAAATAATATATAAATAAGTAATAACTTCTATTTTATATATATAAAGAGAGGCTTATAGTTATACTTTTATAATTATATAATAATATTTAATTTAATTAATAGATTACTCTATAATAATCTTCTATAATAAAATCTATATTTCTAAATATATTATTATTTATTAGTTTTTTTTTTAAAATTATAATTAAAATTACGAGAATTAAAGAAGATATAAAAATATATTTATTTTATAAGAGAGATAGAGATTAGATAAATTTTAATATTAAAGTTTATCGTAAATATTTAATCTCAAAATACTTTAGATAACTTCTTTTATAATATATTTTATTTTAATATATAATTTATCTAAATTTATCTCTTCTTTAATTATTATAGCTATAAAAATATTTTATTAACTATTTTTATAATAATAAATTAATTAATTATCTAGCGTAAATTATAGATATTAAGCTCTTTAAATAATTATATTAAATCGTTTTAATAATTTAAGTTTAGATTTAGAATATATAATATTATATTTAAAAGATTTCTTATTTAAAATAGTAAGTTTAAAGATAAGCTAGTAAAAATAATATTTTAATATAATAGATATTAATATAAATAATCTCTTAAAGAGTCGAATATAGAAGAGATTAATAATATATCTCTATATAGTAATTCTATTAAAGTAATATATTATTTAATACTTCTATAATTTTTTAAATTAATGATTTTCTTAGATTAAGAAATTTAATATCTAGATTATATTATAGACTTTTAAATATTTATATATAAAGCCTTTTATAGCTATTATATAATCTATATTAAGAGCTTTAAAGATTTTATATATAAAATCTTTTATAGCTACTATATAATCTATATTAAAGACTTCTAAATTTTTATATATAAAGTCTTCTATAATTATTACGTAATTTATATCTTAAGCTTCTAAGACTTTATATATTAAGTCTATTACGATTATTATTAAACCTTTTATTATTAAATCTATTAATATAATTTTAAAGATTTTAATAAAAAATATATAATACGCTATAAGTATAGAGAATAATAAGACTCTTAATAAAGAGAAGAGAAGTTAAAATAATTCGATAATAATATTAATATTTAAAAGTAATTTATAAAGTTAAATAAATAAATATAATACTATTATAAGCTAATTTAGTACTATAAAAAAAGAATTAAAGATTTTATATATTTATTAAAGTTTAAAGTAGAGATCTTCTTCTAATTAAATCTATTAATTAGATATTATTTTCTTATCTTTCTATTAAATACTTATATAAATAAATTTATTTAAATTATCTTTTTTAATATAAGAAGTAATTATTAAATATATTAAAAGACTAAGTATTATATTTAATATTCGTATAAAATATAAAAAAATAAAGTTTTTAAATAAGCGCTATAGTAGATATAGCGATAAATTAAAAATATTATAAATCTAAAGCGTTAAGCGCTACGCTTAAAATTATTACTATTTATAAATATTAAAATAAAAATTTATAAAAAGTATAATTTCAAATAATTAAAGAGTATATTTAAATTTAAAATTAAAATAATAAATTTCGAGATAATTATTAAAGATATATTAAGATTAGTATAAATACGATATTAGTATAAATAAGATAGAATAAGAATAATAAGACTATTAAACTATATAAGTGAAAAGAAGATATAATATAATAGAAGATATCTTCGTTAAGGCTCGCTAGCTATAGAATTAAGAGATATATTAAAAATACGCTCGTAATAAGATAGACTAAGATTTCTTAAATATAAATTCTCTATTATATCTATTTATAAGTCTATTAAAGTCTATTATAAATATAATAACTAATTATTTTATTATCTAAATATCTTTCTATAACTTTTTATATATTCTTATTTAACGAAGTTATATTTTAAGAATTCGATTAATTTATTAATAGTAAAATATATATATAAATATCTTTTAAATCTATATAACGCTCTTTATTAAAAGAGTAAATTCGAATATTAATTACTCGATTTTTATTTTAAGTATATAATATTTTATAATATATAGTATAAGAAATATCTAAAGATTAATATTAATTAAAACTCGAATATAATTATAAAAGAATTTAATATTAATATAAATAAGAATTAGATATTAGATATCGATAATAATAAGAAAATAATCTCTAATAATAGAGAAGATAGTAATAGCGATTAATAATAATATATCGAAGACTTTAATAATATAACTTACGAGGGCTATTATCTATATATAGCTCTATTATCTATAGCTTTATTATCTATTACTTCGCTATCTATTACTTTATCTATAACTTTAATTAATATATATTTATTTTCTAACGTAATATTATATTAGTATATATAAAAGAATAAGATAGAGCTAAGCTTAAAAATCTTAAATTTATATATATAGTTAATTATAAATTTAAAGTTACTACGCTCTTTAATTAAATCGACTAAGTTATTACGAGTAAATAAATTAGCGTTCGTAATTATTAAAATCTCTTATTCTACTTTTAACCCTTTAATAACTTTACTATTTTCTATTAAATTTTTTAGATTTTTTTTAAATTATAGCCCGCAACTTGCGCTTTTTAATGCTTTAAGAATTTTGAAATTCGATCTTATAATTATTAAAAGATAAGGTACTTAAATATCGCTTATTAAAGATCGCTTATCGATAGCTCTAATTAAAAAAATGATTATGAATTTAATTTATAGGCCTTTACTCGTATAATTATACTAACTTAAGATTTTATAGAATATAATAAGATATTATATATAGAAAGTAATATAGCTTTAATCTATATAGAGTATAATTATATATATTAAAGACTTCGATAAACTATATTATCTATAGTTATTATATTAAACTTTTTATAGTTATAAATAACTTTAAGAAGTACTTTATTAACTTTAATATTAAATTTAATAATTAATTATTAAATAACTAATAGATTATAATTAAGAAATTATAAAACTTTATACTTATTTTTTAATCGTTAATTAATCGCTAATTAATCGTCGGCTAACGATTATATATCTTAAATAGTTATTAAATCGTTATATAATCGTTAATTAATCGATTTAGATTTACGCGAGAGATTTAAATAGTAAAGATCGCTTATCTATTTACTCGATAGCTCTAATTAAAAAAAATTAAAAATTTAATTTATAGACCTTTACTCGTTATATTCTAAAAAGATAAAAGTTATTTATTATTAGTATATATAATAGAATAAGATAGAATTAAGTTTAAAAATCTTAAATTTATATATATAATTAGTATATATAAAAGAATAAGATAGAGCTAAGCTTGAAAATCTTAAATTTATATATATAATTAATTATTAATTTAAGTTCTCTACGCTTTTTAGCTAGATCGACTAACTTATTATAAATAAATAAATTAGCGTTTATAATTATTAAAATCTCGCCCTTCTACGCCTTTCTTATTAAAAAAATAGATATATATTATTAATATATAGAATTACTTTTTTGTTTTCTATTAAAATTTTGAGATTTTTTTTTTAAATTTTAAAGCGCTGTTTGTGCTTTCCGAATTTTTAAGAATTTTGAAATTTAATCTTATAATTATTAAAGCGCAAGGAATTCAAATATCGCTCATTAAAGATCGCTTATCTACTTACTCGATAGTTCTAATTAAAAAAATAATTATAAATTTAATTTATAGGCCTTTACTCGTTAATTATAAATTTATTAAATCTAGACTTTATAATTAAATTAACTAAATTATCGTAGATAAATAAATTAATATTCGTAATTATTAAAAAATAATAGATATATATTATTAATATATAGAATAACTTTTTTATTTTTTATTAAATTTTTAAGATTTTTTTTTAAATTATAAAACGAAATTCGAGCTTTTAAATAAAAAAAGAATTTTTAAATTTAATCTTATAATTATTAAAGTATAAGAAATTTAAATATCGCTTATTAAAGTTCGCTCGATAGTTAAATAGCTCTAATTAAAAAATAATAGATATATATTATTAATATATAAAATAACTTTTTTATTATCTATTAAATTTTTAAGATTTTTTTTTTAATTTTAGAATAAAATGTAAGCTTTCAGATAAAAAAAGAATTTCTAAATTTAGTCTTATAATTATTAAAGCGTAAGAAATTTAAATATCGCTTATTAAAGATCGCTTATTAAATTTACTCGATAGCTCTAATTTAAAAAAAAAATTATGAATTTAATTTATAGGCCTTTAATCGTTAATAACTAATAGAATATTTATATATCTCTTTCTTATAGAAAACTTCTTAAAGCTATTAAGTTTTTTTTTAAATAATAATTTAGATAATATAGCGGCGATAATATAGTCTATAAATATAATAAAGAAAGAATCTCTTTATATATCTATATTATATTACTAGTTAAATAACTTTAATTTTAATTTAATTAGAAAGATAAAATAGCTACTACGATACCTATATAACGAAATATCTCTTATATATATTTAACAGTGATTACGGCGAAAATTTGGTGGGGTGGCTGCCAAACGGGCGCTCCCGCAAATGGTTTTGCAAAAAGGAGTATGCCCGTCGGCGGTACGCCGGCATAATTCTCGCACCTTATCGATAAGTTTAGACTGTTGACCTGTGAATGCTGTAATTCAATTCAAAGTAACAACCGTAGTAGTTACTGCTAATGTCCCCGTGGTTCCTCAACAGCCCAATAAGTTCCAATGCGCCTTCCCCTCATATTGACATTCCGGACTGGTCTTTCGCTGTCATGAGCAGACCGTCAGTGCCGCAAGCCCCGACCAATCTCCCATCCTCTTCGGCCTCTTGATCCTAGCCAGAATTCTCTACCACGACTCCTAAAACCTATTCATTATCATTCTGTGACTTCTCAAACTACTGATTTTTCACTACAGCTTTTGGAAGGGGGGTACACTCCAGTGAACATGGTGGTAACCGACCAGCACGAGTACCTGTGCGAGGAAGAAAAGCGCCTGAGGGAAGACCGGGAGCGTTCAAAATACTGGAAGAAGTTTGGGCCTTACGTGGCTGAGAGGCAATGGGCTACAGGTGCGCGCGAGATGCTGTTATAGCATACCCAGCCCGCTGATGTCTTGACTCTTTAGTGAGGGAAGACTACTCGTAAGTAGAACGACCATTAATATGTGTTTCATACTGATCTATCCACCAGTGAGAATGGAGATGCATGGAGCCGTAAGCCGCTCTGAAGCCGCCTCAGGGAAAGCTGCCCTGGCTGACTTCCTTTACGATGGCAGACTTTCCCCATGAACACGCCAGATCCAGAACATTCCGCTGGGGAGAGGATGGCATTGCTGGCGTGTCCGATTCTCACGGGCTTCTGAATGTTGCTTTCAGCTTTTGGAACCAGCAAGACGGATACCTAAAGGAGAGGTTGTTTGGGCTTTCGAATCCGGAAGGCAATCATGGTGAAAGTATCAAAGAATGTCACTTCCACCTCGACAATACACCTACAGTATGGAAATTGACCCCTTTTTGAATAAACATGTTGGACTGACCATCCCGGTTTCAGCATTCATATATGAAGTACCTCTATAAGTACCCACAACGTGAATTTCCGTACGAGAAGCTGGTCTCCGAAAACGCAAAACGCGGTAAAACAGAGAGGGAGTACCAGCTGATAGATACGGGAGTTTTCGAAGATGACCGATATTTCGACTGCTTTATCGAGATGGCAAAGGAGGATGACGAGGAGCTTCTTTTCCGCGTGACTGCGTACAATCGCGGACCAGATCCAGCAAAGCTCCACGTCATTCCCCATGTCTGGTTTCGAAACACATGGGCCTGGGATCCTGAAAGGAACCCCAAGAAACCCTCAATCAAGCAAATAGCTCCACTGACAGCGCAAACGAAGCATGAGAAGCTCGGACACCAATTCTGTCAGCTCTCGCCCTCGCCGGGAATAGGTAAAAGCGGACGGGATGTACAGCCACGAATGCTTTTCACAGAAAACGAGACCAACCTCCACACTCTCTATGGCTCAAAGAACCCTCAAGCTTTCGTCAAAGACGCCTTTCATCGACACATAGTAAATAGTGAACGAGGAGCGGTAAACCCGCGTTGTCGTGGGTCCAAGCTAGGTTGTTGGTACGCATTCGACGAAGATGACGGTGTACCTTCCGGCGAATGTGCAGTAGTCCGGTTTCGAATCTCAAAAAAATACGAGGGCTACCTAGACGAGGAAATTTTTGATGACGTTATCGAAAAACGCCGGACTGAAGCCGATGAATTCTACTGGAGAATCAGTCCATTGCCCATGACCGATGATCTACGCAACATCCAGCGCCAGGCGTTGTCAGGCATGTTGTGGTGCAAGCAATATTATCATTTCGTCTGGGATCAGTGGGCCAACGGGGACAAGGGACAGATAGCGCCGCCACCTGGCAGAAAAGGAGTTAGAAATAGCAAATGGCGTCACCTTTTTATCGACGACATCCTGTCCATGCCAGACTCGTGGGAATACCCCTTCTTTGCCGCATGGGATACGGCTTTCCATTGCATACCACTAGCAATGATTGACCCGGATTTTGCCAAGAAGCAATTAGATCTTTTAACGAGAGAATGGTATATGCATCCGAATGGACAGCTTCCCGCCTACGAATGGAATTTTGGAGGTAAGTAACCCATCTTGTTTCTTTGCTTATTTTGGAGTCTTCCCCTGCTCCCATGTCTTTGTTCTCCGTGTTGTCCCTTTTCTCTCGGCGTCTTCCTGTGCGGAATCATATTAAAATAATCGCAAAAAGTTTGCTCATTCTGAATGCAGATGTCAATCCTCCAGTCCATGCATGGTCGGTGTTTCGCGTATTCAAGATCGAACGCAAATTGTACGGCCGATCAGATTTGGACTTTCTTGGTAAGGCTTTCGGGATTTATGTCTTTGCCTTCATGGAGGAATGCTGACGTCAAAATTCATAGAGAGGGTTTTCCAGAAGCTTCTGCTCAATTTTACTTGGTGGGTAAATCGAAAGGACCACAGCGACAAGGGTGTCTTCGAGGGCGGCTTTCTCGGCCTCGATAATATCGGATTGTTCAATCGCTCGGAACCCCTACCCACGGGCGGCGTCCTTGAGCAAGCGGACAGTACCGGATGGATGGCTTTCTACTGTCTGTCAATGCTGAACATTGCTCTCGAGCTGGCAAAGCATCGCCGGATATACGAAGATATTGCGTCCAAATTCTTCGAGCACTTCATCCTGATCAGCGATGCCATGACCTACCGATCGTCTTCAGGAGGGGAGGAAGCGTCCCTGTGGAATGAGACAGATGGTTTCTATTATGACGCCATCTCTTGGGGCGGTCCTTGGACCAAACAGCTTCCTGTTCGATCACTCGTGGGCCTTATACCTCTGTTTGCCGTCTTGACGCTAGAGCCAGAAATAATCAATAAGCTCCCTTCCTTCAAGAGGCGTTTGGTATGGTTCATCGAGAACCATAATGATATTGCGGAGCGTAATATCGCCTCCCTTAGAAGAAGAGGAAAAGACGACAGACTCCTGTTATCACTGGTCAACAAGGAGCGTCTGGTCCAGATTCTGAAGCGAATGCTGGACGAGACGGAGTTCCTTGCAGATCATGGCATTCGGTCGCTCTCAAAATACCATAAGGAAAATCCATATTCGATGGATGTCAACGGACAGCATTTCCAAGTTAGCTACGTGCCAGGTGACTCCGACAGCGGCCTGTTCGGTGGAAATAGGCAAGCCGCACGTTGTTCTGGTACCCGAATTCGGCTGACGGAATTAGCAACTGGAGAGGCCCCATTTGGTTGGCTGTCAATTTTCTACTTGTAGAATCACTGCTTCGGTTTTACATGTTCTATGGCAAATCTTTAGTGGTGGAGTGCCCGACAGGTACGTATCTTCTCCTCTTCAGGAACATGAGTTCGAGTTGAAGCACCTTGGAGGCTTTGACTCTAAAGCAATGTCTTAAGACTGGAATCCCTCTTGATCTACAATACTGAATCCACAATTCGTCTCAGGATCGGGAGTGTTCATGCATCTAGGTCAAATTGCAGAGGAGATCCAGCATCGACTGCAGCATCTTTTCACGCGTGGAGATGATGGCCGGCGGGCAATCAATGATGGCAATGACATGCTTGATTTTGATCCGCAGTGGAGGGACTATCTCAGTTTCTACGAATTCTTTGATGCGGATACCGGCAGAGGATTAGGTGCAAGCCATCAATGCGGCTGGACCGGACTGATTGCGAAGATGATTCATGATACTGGGTATGCTCCCGTCTTCTTCCAGTTCGCGTGGGTGTCAAACAACTCCTTATCTTCTAACAATGAAATGACCATCTTGCTGAGTGATCTACTCTAGAATCAACTGTCGCCTACCTCAGACTCCTAGGACTCCTACAGCAGCAGCCGCCCACTACGCTGGCTCCTATTTCGACGAGATCTGGGGTAAATCAAGCAAGCCACGCATCAGGCGTTCTTCCACCTCGCGATCCATCGGCAACAGTTTGAACGGTTCCGTCAACGGCGATATTCATGATAGATCAGCCGTTGGTTCTGTAGGTGATACCGGTGACCGCGAGAGACGAAGAAGCGAGGCCAACCAGCACGTCGCAAATTATGTTAATGAGCAGCTGGAGCGTGTTCGAAGCAACCAATCTGTGGGAGCATACGAGGATGAGTTTGAGGCTCAGCTGGACGGCAAATAGACATTTACAGTACTCGACGGTTCTCCTAAACCCTGTTATACCTACACCATAGACCTAGACAAAGAACAGCCTTTCTATTCGTTCTAATCCAGAATCTGAACTTAGTAGCAAAGTACATCAAAAAGTTCGCGAGTCTTTTTTCTTTACTATTATACGTGATCTTAAATATTTATTATTAAATATTTTTAAATATTAGCTAACGCTAGTATATAGTATCGAAGAGCTATTAATTTAATCTAGCTATATTTCTTTAATTAGTAAAAAGTTAAAATAGTAAATAGAGAATATATTCTAGCTTATCTTAATATCTTTTCTATATCTCTAGATATGACGTGGGATCTTGGAAGCTGAGCCGTGTTCCTGACGATGGTGGCCTTGTTGCGCTTGGTTTCTAGTGTTTCGATTTGCCTGTTGTAGTTCCTCCTCTTGTCCTCCTCTTGTAGAGTATTAGACTGAGTGGCTAGCTGAGTGGCTGACTGAGTGGATGACTGATATGCGTGGGATCTTGGAGAGCTGGCCGTGTTTTGACGATGGTGGCTTGTTGCGTTGGTTTCTGAGTGTTCTGATTTGCCTGTTGTGTTCCTCTCTTCTTAATGGGTGGGGATGATAGGCCAGTTGTGTGGTGTTCTTGCTTGTGGTATAATTTGATGTGGAACGGCAGTTGGTGTGTTTCCGTTGTTGGTGATGATTTGATATGGAACCGTGGTATTACGTGGGATCTTGGCTGGCCGTGTTCTTGCGATGTGTCTTTTACCGCTTGTTTCTTCGTGTTTCTTGTTTGCTTTGTAGTTTTTCTCTTCTCCTTATTATGGGGATGATAGTTATGTGTTTTCGCTTTTAGTTATATTTATATGAATCGTGGGTATATCGTGGGTTTTGGGGCTGAGCCTGTTCTTTGTGGGGGCCTTGTTTGCTTGTTTTCGTGTGTTTCCGTTTCGCCTCTGTGGTGATTTCTCTTCTGGCTGGTGATTGTGTGGACCGTGGTGGCCTGTTGTGTTTGTGTGTGGTGTTCTTTTGGCTCTTTGTGGGCTTTACGCGTTTTGGTAGTGTGGTGCTGTTGGGTCGCTTCGGCCTCGATTGTGGTGCGGATTCGCTGGGGGTGGCCTGGGGGCGTCGTGGGGCTCTATTGGGCGGGGGTCGAGCGTTTTTTATTGGTGATTGTAGATTTGATTGGTGATTATAGTGGTGAAGAATAACAAGTAAGGATTTTATCTCCGGACGCGTCTGGTGTGCTTTATTTGAATATTTTATCTATGTGTTAACTTTATTTTTAGCGTTGAGCGTAGCGGCTCTATTTTAGAATTATGAGTAACTGTTTATGGTAGTACTTTAGTATAAACTTCTTTATATTTTTAATAGAGAGTTGGGGTTTTGTGCTTGGATTTATTAAAGGCGTGCGATTTAATTAATATTGACTTATATATATTGATTTTTAGCTTGTCTATCTTATTTATTATATATATTAATAAGTAGGCCTTGATTAATTCTGGTTGGATTTTTAGTTAATATTTTGCCTGCCTAGTCAATCGACTCTATCGCTTGCTTACGTTTTTACCTACTTTTACTATTATAAATTAATTTAATCTATATGTTATGTATATATATGGAGGGGCGCGCTAAGGCTTATTAGAGATATATTAGTATATATAAAGAATAAGATGGATTAGCTTAAAACCTTGATTTTATATGGTTATTATAATTTGAGTTCGCTTGTTTTATTAGATCGGCTAATTAGCCCGTAACCCTCTCGCCTCCTTATAAAATTTATATATAGTTTTACTTTAAGTACTCGCTTGGTATATATGTTACTTATTCTAATTATGGCTCGCTTTGCTTTCTAGCTATAAAATTATGAGTTTATCTACTATTAATGGATTAAATGAATATTTAATATAGTGTTATGATATAATAATGTGCATTGGCGCGTTTGAATCGGTATAATATCTTTTGTTTTGTATTATTTTCTTTTTTTTTTATTCTATTATTTTTATTTATTATTTCATCATATGATATAATCGTCTTCGTTCTGCTTATTGCCTTACTACGCCCTTGACTCTTCTTGGAATTCGCTCTGCTGGCAATCGGGCCGTAAGCGGCTTATAGCTATCTATTACTGTTATAATATATTAAAGACTCTTAAAAGAGTTTAAACGGATACGTTCTCCTCTTATACTTCTTTTAAGCCGCGATAAGTGGTTAAACTGACATTCAAATATTGTAGTTATATTAAACGCGTTCGTTGGTCGTCCCTCTTGCCTCTTAGGTCTCTACTAACGCTTCTGGCTCCCTCGGATCGCTACTACTGGCAATCGGGCCGTAGCGGTCATAGCTTTTCTACTGTTATAAAGCGTTAAAAGGCCCTAAAAGAGCTCGAACGAATACGTCCTCCCTTATACTCCTCTTAAGCAGCGATAAATAGATTAAACTAACATTTAAATATTATAGTTATATTAAACGCGTTCGGATCGAATAATATCTTTTTTTTTGTAACTATTCTTCTTTATCATTCTATATTTATTAATTTATTAATTCTATTATTCTATATTCTATTAATTCTATCATTCTATATTCTATTATTTATTATTCTATCATTCTATTATTCCACCATATAAACACATTTACTCTCGATACCCTCGCCTTAGTTAAATAAGAGGGAATCTATATAGCGAATACGGGATACTACGGAGAATATTCGGAGATAGTTATTGGGTAATATAATAGGTCTATCTCTACGATCTTATACTATTCTTAGCTAGTATAAGAGAAGTCACTATAGTAGGCGATATGAAGAATACTACGGAGAAACTAAGCGATAATAAGGCTCTCGTTTAAGAATAGGCTTGCTCTCTAGATCGTTTATACTCTATGTTTCTATTAATTATTATTATAGCGGGTCTTTATAATTTAGTTTATTATTCTTACTATATTGGGTAGAGAAGAACTATAATAGTAATATGAAGAATACTATGGAATTAGCGGTATAAACTATTATTTAAGACGGCTTGCTCTCCAGATCCCACGTTTTACTCTCTTGATTCTTATTAAATCATTCTTGTAGTGAGAATATTATTATATTTGTATTCATTAAATCATTATTTAATAAGCGAAGAATACCATTATAACTTAGCCTATTATCTCCCTTATTGGGTAAGAGAAGGAACTATAATAGATAATGCGGAGAACACTCGGAGAAACCGCGGCATAAGGCCCTCGTCGAACACGGCTCGCTCTCCGATTTACGTTAAATCATCACTCGAGCGGGAACACCCTGCAACTTGGCCTGTTATCCTACTGCATTGATATGGTCATCACGCAATGACGTTATAAGGGGAGGTTTTGCAGATCGGTATTGGGCTCGGGGGGCATCGGACGATGTTTTGGCATGAATCGTCGATGTCTGCTATTTTATTCAAGATTTCCTGCGGCGGGATTTGTTTTATTGGCGTTGTTTTTCTTTGTATTTCCTTTGTAGTGCTTTCTTTTATAGGATTATTACGGATTATCCTCCCCTTGTCTCATTGGCCTTGGCCTCTTCCGTTATTGTTTATTACTGTAGCGTAATCATTTTGTGTGGTGTTGCGTGTTTCTGGTGTAATTTTCTAACACTATTATTGATTAAATAGAGAAAGGCTATATTCTTATAGTAAAAAGTATCGAAATATTAAAAAGAAATGGAGATAACGTGCTAGTTAGTAATATAAATTTTATAATATCTCCTATCGTAGTTAAATCTTTCGAATAATAAGATAGCTATAGATATCGAACGATTTTAATTCGTTTAAATATATATCGTTTAATATTTCTTCTATAGAGGCCTAATTAACTATAATTATTATAGTAGATTCTACTCTTATAACGTTATTATAGTAATATATTATATTAATATAATAAGAATAATAAACTAAGTTATAATAGTATTCTCCGCTTACTAAATAATAATTTAACGTAAAATCTTAGAGAGCTAAGCCGTATTCTTAATAATAATAATCTTATTACCGCTTAATTTCTCCGTAATATTCTCTATAGTATTCTCTATAGTATTCTCCGCATTTATCTATTATAGTTTCTTCTCTTACTTTTTTCTTATAATAGAGTATTAGATTAAGTAATTAGCTAAGTAAATAATTAACTAAGTAATAATAATATAAACTAATATAATATAAAATCTTAAAGAGCTAAGCCGTATTCTTAATAATAATACTTTTATTATTGCTTAATTTCTCTATAGTATTCTCCGCATTTATCTATTATAGTTTCTTCTCTTTACTTTCTTAATATAGTATAGAGATAATAGATTAAGTTATAGTAGTATTCTCCGCTTACTAAATAATAATTTAATATAGAATTGTAGAGAGTATATAACGTGGGATCTTGAAGAGCTAAGCCGTATTCTTAATAATAATAATCTTATTACCGCTTAATTTCTCCGTATATTCTTTATATTCTCTCGCATTTATCTATTATAGTTTCTTCTCTTACTTCTTAATATAGTAGAAATAATAAGTTAAGTTATAGTAGTATTCTTCGCTTACTAAGTAATAATTTAATATAAAATTATAGAGAGTATATAACGTGGGATCTTAAAGAGCTAAGTCGTATTCTTAATAATAATAATTTTATTATCGCTTAATTTCTCTATAGTATTCTTCTCATATTTATCTATTATAGTTTCTCTCTTTTACTTCTTTTCTTATAGAGTATTAGATTAAGTAATTAGTTAAGTAACTAACTAAGTAAATAACTAATATAATATGAAATCTTAAAGAGCTAAGCTATATTCTTAACGATAATAGTCTTATTATCGCTTAGTTTCTTTATAGTATTCTCCGCATTTATCTATTATAGATTCTTCTCTTATTTAATTAAGTGCGAGTGTTAGAGGGTAAATATATTTATATTAATTAATAATTAATAATTAATAGAATTAGTAGAATTAGTAGAATTAATAGAATTAATAGAATTAATAGAATAATAGAAAAAGAATAGTTATATAAATAGAT